TGGAATGAACCCCAGGACTGCCCTGAGGAGTCTTCTTGGTGCAGCCTCAGCTTCCTCTCCTATTACATAGGCGACAGCCTGACCTCACAGGCCTGTTTTGGGGTGCTTGTCAAGTGGCAGGGACTTCACCCCCTCCCTACCATGGAAGGTAAGAAGGCGGGCCTCCCAGGTGGGGGTCACAGGAGGGGCGGGTGTGGAGCTGGGTTTAAACGGGATAAAATGCTTCCCAGGACGCCCCCTCTGTGAGGGGGGGAGGGCACCCCGTATCAGTAACGGAGCTCTCACACCTGCCCTAACCCCGGGCGATGGAACAGCCAGCGGAGCAGAGTGAATTTTTGTGTTGTTTTTGCTTATTCTGAAAACTGTTGGGTGCCCTGAGGCTGGTCGCTGTTCGGGCATTTTTCTTCCCTCATTAAGGAAGGCGCCCCTGGTGGGTTCCCTGTGCCCGGCCTGGAGCCCAAGGTAAATATCGCTGGCGTCCACTTCCCTGCTCGCTGGGTGGAATTAAGAATCAGGCACCTGTGGGAGAGAGAGGAGCCGGGGAGCCAACAGCTGGGCATTACTCAGGAACGCCCCATCCTTACCCTCCAGGTGGGGCTTGTTCTTCCCTCATTAAGGAAGGCGCCCCTGGTGGGTTCCCTGTGCCCGGCCTGGAGCCCAAGGTAAATATCGCTGGCGTCCACTTCCCTGCTCGCTGGGTGGAATTAAGAATCAGGCACCTGTGGGAGAGAGAGGAGCCGGGGAGCCAACAGCTGGGCATTACTCAGGAACGCCCCATCCTTACCCTCCGGGTGGGGCTCGGTGGTTAGGCATCGACCTAGGAACCAGGAGGTCACGGTTTCATTCCCCGTCAGGGCACAGGCCCGGGTTGCGGGCTCCATCCCCAGTGTGGAGCGTGCAGGAGGCAGCCGGTCCATGATTCTCTCTCATCATGGATGTTTCTATCTTTCTCTCTCCCTTCCTCTCTGAAATCAATTTAAAAAATATCTTTTTAAAAAGAACACCCCAGTCTTTATTTTGTTAATCCTTGCCGGAGGATATTTTCCCGTTGGTTTTAGAGAGAGCGGAAGAGAGAAACATCGATGTGAGAGAAACACAGCAACTGGCTGCCTCCTGCACGTGCCCCAACCAGGGTCCGGGAGGGGGAGGAGCCTGCAACCAGGGCCTGCAACGTGCCCTGGACCCGAATTGAACCCCGGGAACCGTTGGTCCACAGGCCCACATTCTATCCACTGGGCCACACCGGCCGGGCAAAGCTTTATTTTTCTTGCCAGTTTGGCTAAGAAGCCAGAAGGAACAATAGATTCAAACCGAAATAATTTGCATTTATGATGAATCCAAGGAATATCTACCTTGCATCTTCCCAAAAAAGAAAAATTAAACCCATTTTTAATTAACTGATAAACTATTAATCAAATTTCTGCAATGTTAGGTGACACATTATTCATTTAGATGGAATGACTGTGAACTTAAACTAATCAAACCTGATTTGCCCTCATAGGCCTGATTGAGAGACATTTCAGCCAGCGTATACAGAGAGCAGACGCGGGCCTCACCTGATCTCCAGCACACACTGCTGAGTTAATAAGGGCAGTTTTTTCAAATAAAAAAAAAGAAATGAGACCAGCCTTTCTTCATCTGCATATCAAAATCAAGAAGGACTTAATTGCAAAACACATATTCCTGAAATCTAATCATTCCACGGCTTTAGGGTATTTTATTGAAGCGTGTTAAATTATGGACAGAATATTAATGGGGGAGCTAATCAAACCCAATTAGTCACTTCTAACAATAGCCCCATAAATATACAGGTCGGGTACCGCAGCCCCGTGCCCAGGCGGTGAAACCGGTAAGATAGGGAACCTGTGGGGTATTGACGAAGCCTTCGTGTCGAATTTAAAGCCAAAAATGATTGGTGAGGTCACTTCGACGAAGACCAGTCAGGCAGTGCCCCAGGGTGTTTGACAAGAATTCACAAGTTTCACCTGTTTTTCAGGGAAACTCGAATCCAGGACGTTAGCGAATCTGCAATCAGTCAGCAGACCCTAACAGACCGCATTCACGACTCAGACTGTTTCTCTGGCATCTGAAGCCTTTTTTCCGCCTTTTGTTGGGGGCTTCTTCCAGGCCTGGCAGCCATGCCGACTGAGGGCCAGGCTGGAGGAGCGGCGGGCGGGTGGGCCCTGTGTGGGTCTGGGGCTTGGTCGTCCACCTGTCTCCTTCCCCCGCTCGGGGCAGAGCAGGCAGGGTCCTTGCTACCTGCTGGACTCCCTCCGCCAGATTGAGGCTTTGGGAAAGGGGCTGAAGGGCCCCGGGAGTCCCAGCCTTCCTGTGAGGGGTCTTTTACAAGAAAAAAATATATTTTTTTATTGATTTTAGAGAGAGAGGGAGAGAGAGAGAGAGAGAGAGAAAGAAACATCAATGATGAGAGATGTTTGCACACCCCACACTGGAGATCGAGCCTGCAACCCGGCATGTGCCCTGACGGGGAATCGAACTGTGACCTCCTGGTTCCTAGGTCGACACTCACCTGACCCCTGAGCCACGCCGGCCGGGCCTGTGGGGGGTTTCCTGGGAGATTTCGGGCCAGAGAGCCAGGCCAAGGCAGAGGCCCTGGGAGTGCCCCCTGCAGAGACTCCCTCTGCTTCTTTACTTTTCTTTCTAAAAAAATATGTTTTTATTGATTTTAAAGAGAGAGGAAGGCAGGAGAGAGAGAGAGAGAGAGAGAGAGAGAGAGAGAGAGAGAGAGAGAGAGAAACATTGATCAGCTGTCTCCTGCACGTACCCCAACCAGGGATTGAACCACAACGTGGATATATGTCCTGACTGGAATCAAACCGGTGACCTTTAGGTTCATGGGTCGATGCTCAACCAACGGAGCCACACCGGCCAGCGCCCTACTTCTTTTCGGGCCTGGCGGGATGGCCCAGAAGCCAGCAGCCACACCTGCTGGGCTGTGGTTTCACCAGGGAGTGGGTCCCAGCCATGCCCACTCCGCGGTCAGGAGGCTGCAGACCTCACAGTTCCCTCTGCTGCTCGGCCCTCTTCTGGGTCCTGTCCAGGCCCCTCCGTCCCTCTCCGGTCCCCGTGGGACAGCTCCACAGTCACAGCGCTCTACATCTTCTCTCTGCCGGCCTCTGAGGGAGGGGGGTGGCCATGCTTCCTGTCTCCCTCCCCCACCCCTCCCTCCAGCTCCCCCATCACCTCCCAAATAGATGACCCGCATCCAAGTTCAAGTCCTAGGTCTGCTGGACACCCTGCCCCCGACCCTGCCCACAGAGCCCGCTGGATACTACGGTGTCATTTCGCTGTGTTTGTAATGAAACAGACACAAATACACATTTGAAGAGGGTAAGGTAGAGATAAAATAAGCACATTTAAAATAACTTATTTATTAACAACACAATCTCTCTGATCTCACCCAAATATTAATCATGATATTCGTGGTGAGCGGCAGCGTGATTAAATGTGCTTCATTATTCCCGAAAACCTTGATTAACACGTTGTGATGTAGCGGTTTAAGAAGCCTGGTCTAGTTTCATTTCATCTTAATACTTGTTTCCATGGTTTTGATAGGAAAAAGGCGTTTCAGAAAGACGCAGGGGTCCGAATGGAGAGCCGGCATCCATCAGTCACGTGCCCACTTCCAGGCCACCCCCAGGTGGGCAAAGGTGACCGTAAAAGTCTGGCCGGCAAACACCCATCTTCCTCCGGGGCCAGCAGAACTCTCGCTCACTGACCGGAAAGAGTCGCAATGTTCTGTTTTCTAGACATTTTATTTCCAGGACAACTGTAGAGTCAAAGGGTTTGTACATTGAAAAGATTTGAGGGGCCCTGGCTGGTTGGCTCAGTGGATAGAGCCTGGGCCTGCGGACTGAAGGGTCCTGGGTTCGATTCCAAAGGCACGTACCTCGGTTGCGGGCTCGATCCCCAATAGAGGGCGTGCAGGAGGCAGCCCATCAGTGTGTTTGACATCGATGTTTCTCTTTGTCTCCCCTCCCTTCCACTCTCTGATAATTAATGGAAAAATATCCCCGGGTGAGAAATAACTAACTAACTCGCTATATAACTAACTAACTAACTAACTAAATAAATAAACAAACAAAAGGAGTTTCCCTTAAAATTTGTTGTTGATGATATTCCTAGCTCACGCTCACCAACGCTGTACCGAGTCACCTTCTACCGCAGTTTAGGCTGGGCTACACGCATCTGTTTTTCTTCCCAGTTTCCAACACGAGAGGTTAAACTATTTAATGTTCATCGACCCAATAAATAAAACATACCGTCGGTTCAGGTGCGTCTCCCAGCGTGAGAGGTCTGATGGTTTTCCGTAGATGCACTGGCTCTCCCAATCTCTCCCCTGCACTGCGCCGTCCCAGCCTCGGTGCCCTTTTAGAACAATCCTTCGTCGTCCCCTGATTGTTTGCAGAAGATGCTCATACATTCTACCTGCTAAGCGTTTACCCTTTAAACATATTGCAGGTGTTTTTATTCTGAGGCTTAAAAAACAACGTTGTAGTGTCTGGCGAGAGAAGCTAAGTGCAGTGGAGCCTGCTAATTTGTTTCTTTATGGCTAGATTTGCCGAAGAATGCTCTTCCCATCCCCAAAGCACTTAAGAACTCTAGCGTATGCGCTTCTGTTGTGTTTATACTACTTTGTATTGTTTCGAGTCTTTTTAAAAATGTTTTTATTGATTACAGAGAGAGGAAGGGAGGGGAAGGCCGCCCCCCCCTACACACACACACACACACACACACACGCACATACACACACCACACACACACCACACCAGTGATGGAGCCACAACTGGGGCCTGTGCCCTGACCCGGAATCAAACCGTGACCACCTGGTTCATAGGTCCATGCTCATCCCCTGAGCCCCGCCGGCAGACATTAGTTTGGGGTGATTATTTGGAGTTGGGTATATGATTCTGTTTCCCAAAACAATGGGTAATTATTCCAGCGGCGTTTATCAAATAAACACTCCATCATTCCCCCTCTTTCATTTCAAATGCTATGTCATCTTACTTTCCTTTATTATCTCAGGTAGTTTCTAGAGTTCCCGCCCCACCTCGAGGGCCTCTCAGCCTTATGTCAACACCGCGCTGTTTGCCGGTGGCTCTCAGCCGTGGCCGGGATTCGCAGGGATTCACAGGCAGGGGGAATCTTTACGCACGTGCTTCACCTTTGGCATTTACACTTCAGATGGACTTGAGCGCATTAACAGGTTCATCACCGAGCACGTGGACGTGGCTGGGGGTCGCATCAAGGACGGGGATTCATCCGTGTGTAGAGAATCACGGTCCGGCAGCCCGAGTCATCGCTGGGTTTGCGTCCGTGGTTTTTAGAGCTCCTTGCGGGATCGTCAGCGAACATCGCTTGGCTTTCCTCGCGCAGGCTCTCGTTGGCTGCGTTCTGGACTCTGGCTCTGTTGTTCTGAAATGAATCTGTTGCCGTGACCCCCCCTCCCCTTGAGGTATCAGGCCAAAACGCAGGTATCTAGCATTCGTGGTGTGACTGCATTGGTTGTAAAGCATGTATCTGCGTGCCTGGTGCCGTCTATACCGTAAATCTGTGAGTACGGTTGCCTGGGTAGTTCTCTGTCTCCACAGGTCAGGAGCCCTATGCTGATGACTCTGTATCTAACATCGGGCACATAGGAAGTGGAGTATGGATTTCCTTACACGCTTTCTGCTTTGCTATATGTGTTTTTATTTTTGTCAAAATGTATGATCTTGTACTTTAAAAAGAAAAAAGATGATTTTCACTTGGAAAAAGAAGCAAGCCACAAGGAAAGAAACAGTACCTTAAGGTGCAGCTCATATATTACTTGTCAATTAAAAAAGGAGGGGAAAAAATTGCCCAGCGGGTGTGGCTCAGGGGTTGAGCGTTGACCCATGAGCCAGGAGGTCCAGGGTTCGATTCCCAGTCAGGGCTCAAGCCTGGGTTGTGGGCTTCATCCCCAGTAGGGGGCGTGCAGGAGGCAGCCGCTTGATGTCTCTCTCTCATTGATGTTTCTGTTTCTCTATCCCTCTCCCTTCCTCTCTCTAAAATCAATAAAATGTATTTTAAAAAGGAGGAACAACATATAAAAAAGGGAAAGATGGGTGGTCTCTAAACATGACCAGGGAGGGCGGTGACTCACCTCTCCGGATGCCTGGGTGTCCCAATGTGGGCGGCTTGGTTGTGCCATCTGTAAAATGGGATTCTTCCCGCCGGGATGAGCGCGCCTGTGAGCCCCAGGCCTCAGCACAGGCCGGGCCCAGGCAGGAGGAGTGGGAGGGCGGCCGGGGGAAGAAATCCCTCAGGCCCAGCGGTGGCTGCCGCATCGCGATGATCTCCAGGACAGGCGCCGTGATGGCCAGGACACCCCCCACCTCAGGGCTGGGAGGGCCCCGGTCCGTCACACACCCAGCTGGCCAGGTGGACATCGGCCTGGTTTCCTCCAGAGAGCAGATGGCAGTGACCCTGGAGCCCTGGCTCGCCTGTACACGATGCGCCACGGGACCGCTGGCCACTTGTGTCCTTGGGGAGAGCGAAGCTGGAGCGAGAAAGACAAATTCGAGATAATGCCGCTCCCTCCGAAAGGGCATGGGGTGGGTCTGTTTCTACGCCAGCAGTTACAAAAGAGAGAGATCTTGGTGTGATCTGATCAGGTAATGGAAAAAGAATACTACGGTTCTCAAGAGGAGAGACGCGGTCAGCAACGGACCTGGCACACCTGGCACAGCGCTGGGCACTGGCCCCAGGCGGCCTGGCCACACGGATGCTGCCAGAGGGAGGCCTCTGTGCAGTGGGAAGGCACCTGCTTGCTTCTCCCAGCGGCTCCTTAGGGCGCCGTCTCCCTGCTGCACTTGGGGCTGGGCCGGGACCACGCACGCCATTGGTCCTCCCCCACCCCCCGCTGCACATTTATTTTTATTAACGATAACTAGAGGCCCGATGCACGAAATTCGTGCAAGAGTAGGCCTTCCTTCCCCCGGCTGCTGGCACTGGCTTCCCTCTGGCACCCGGGACCCAGGCTTCCCTCACAGCCCCAGGTTCACTGGGAAGGATGTTCAGTCTAATTGGCATATTACACTTTTATTATTATAGATTTTTAGAGCAGGTTTACGTTCACAGCTATATATATATATTTTTAATAATGTTTTTTGTTGATTTCAGAGAGGAAGGGAGAGGGAGAGAGAGAAACATCCATGATGAGAGAGAACCATGGACCAGCTGCCTCCTGCACGCCCCTCACTGGGGATCGAGCCTGCAACCCCCGCATGTGCCCTGATCTGGAACGGAACTGTAATCTCCTGGCTCATAGGCCGACACTCAAACCCTGAGCCATGCCGGGCGGGCCTTATGTCAATGTTTTAATAATTCATTTCAGTGGAAAATACATTCAAGTTTTACCTCCACTAAGAGCCAGACAGTTGTGAAGGAAGGCATCCTACCATCACTCCTGTGCCTCATGCAGCCCCATCACTGGCAGGGGTCCGGCTGAGGCTGCTGGACAGGGCAGATTCCCCAGCCGGCGGGGTAGCACCGCCCATGAGCTGTCAAAATACAGACATCACCTTTCAGCAGGTGTGGAGGCCGGCCCAGGACTTAAAAAAATTCCACAAAATTTGAAACGTCACTGGATATTGGATGATATTAAGGATTTGTTATTATTATTTGTTAATCTCTGCTTCTCTGAGTCTGACTACTTCGGATTCCTCATGTAAGTAGGATCATGCGGTATTTGTCCTTCTGTGACATCACATCATGTCCTCAAGGTCACCCAGTGGTCACATATGTCAGGGGCGGTGGGGAGGAATCTCTGCTTCTCTGAGTCTGACTACTTCGGATTCCTCATGTAAGTAGGATCATGCGGTATTTGTCCTTCTGTGACATCACATCATGTCCTCAAGGTCACCCAGTGGTCACATATGTCAGGGGCAGGGGGTGGGGAGAGGGGAGCTGCTACCCACCAGGCACAAAGTTTCAATTACGCTAGTTAAGTTCTAGAGACCTGTTGTGTAACGTAGCTAACAACATTGTGCCCTTCAGTCTCTCAAAACCGTAGGTCTCATGTTAAACATTCTTACCGCACTATACCAGAGGAATCATTGTAGCGGTTTTTCTTAGGTTTGCTAATGAGACTCTGGTTATATTTTTCCAAAAAAAGTATTTACCTTTAGAGACGTATGCTGACGTGGCTACAAGCGGAATGATACAAAGTAGAGCATTTGCTTCAAAATAGCTAGACGGGGAGGCTGCACGCGAGAAGTTGGTGAGGAGTAAATGTTGGTGAAGCTGAGCGGTGGACATGTCAGTCCTCACTGCGCTGTTCTACCGCGAAGAGCAGGGAGAAAGAGCGGCGCTGGTGGAGCCCGAGGAGAGGGGAGGGGCTTCTGTAGATAGACGAGCAGGGAAGCCTGGTTATTTATTTATTAACATATTTTTATTGATTTCAGAGCGAGGAAGCGAGAAACATCAATGATGAGAATCATGGGTTGCACGCCCCCTGCTGCGGAT